AAACACATCAGCAATTTTGTAAAGAAAGGATTTGATAAGCTGGTGAGAAAAATCACTCAGGAATGCTCAGTGTCAGAGCATTGCTTGCATGCAAGTACCTTTCTTTACAGTATTACCAGTTTGCCTTTGGCAAAATCTTAAAACTACAGGATCAGCAAAAGCATAGCTTAAAAGTGCCTTTCTGTTGTTGCTTTTTCTCTTGTCAGAGCAAGTCTCACTCCTCTTTCTTTCATCCCTTCACATATCACTCCCACAAAGCATGAAACAATAAAAACAAATTCAGTGTATATAAAAAGTGATATTGGAGGGCCCTTGACTTCAAACATTCGAACCATGTTCTATGTTGTGCCATATCTGTCAAGTTTGGTATCTACTTTGCTGTCTGTGTGCCAGATACCTGAAATTAGGCTAACAGCTTTGATTTTTTGTTTTTAATATTGCACAGCATGAAGATATAGTGATATTTTGAATCACTATGACTTCCATCCTGTAAAAACCATACAAATATCTGGAGTTAAAGCTGACTGAAGAGCACTGGATACTCATCTCTTCACTGGATCCTGAAGGATTTCTTTTTAAGTCTGTGTTTCAGCATTTTTGCATGCTCCTAGACCAAATATTTCAAGCTTTAAGAGCACAACTTACATGCAGCCTGACTAGTCGGAATAAACAACGACACAGCCAAAACAAACCCAGATTTAGCATATTTATGCAACTGAAAAACAATTCAACTGTGAAACCACCTGGACTACTTTAAAACTGCAAGAAAACTTTGCTCAGCTGTGTTACTTGTCCTCTATCACACACAGAAGCAGAGCATTACCCACTGGAATGCCAATGATCAATTTGTTCAGTATTCATTTAAACAGTATCACTTCCCCTAAATACGAGGATCTGCGGGCAGTATTCCATAATTGGCAGATGCACTGATGACCTAACCTCAGCACAGCAGTAAGAAAGGCACAGCATCTTCCTATTTCTGTGTGAACTTTGTCCAGACACAATGGCAGACAACAATTTCTCCAACTTCCATACCCAGGTCACCAACAATACCCTCTCTTTCTATCTCTCTGGGGTCTTCCTAAATTTCTCTTCACATTAATTAATTCATTAAATTAATCCAACCCTTTCCTGACAACTCATGATTTTCTTTATCATCTGCTTTCTAGTTTAACTAGAACTAGACATTTTCTCATCTTTCTTCCACTTGTTTTACCTGTAACACTTCCCACAAACCAATAGCTGTTATGTCAGCACTGCTCCAGTCCCTTCATGTCTCTTTCCACAATGAATTCTCATTTCTCAACTATAGCCTGTGCTTCTCTACTTCCTTTTCTTCCTATTTTCCTTGTCTTATTTTTCAAATTTATAAATTTCCACTCAGTAATGCTCTCTCTGTGGTTGGGACAGATCCCTATGCTTCTTCCTCTCATCACAGTCAAGAATCAGTCCTCAACAGCACAACTCTGCCTTTTTCATCCAGCTGCTTAACCTTATGATTAAGGTTTTTATTGTATAATCTGTGACCCTCAAGAGCATCTGATTAATATTAACATTTCCAATTTTTCAAGTAGCCCACCATACATTAGAAGTCATAGTACAGAATGACTAAGGCCTTTGATGTAGTGATGCAGTTTGAATTTCAAACAGCACGTAGCTCAGCACATGCCAGAGTAACTGCCCCTCTGTGTAGTATTTCAGTGACAACGTATCAATTTTCCTAAATTCTTGTTTTTCAAAAAGCTTTGTATCAGATCAGTCCTAGTTCAAATTATAATGTCTCATCTTGAATATTCAAGGTAGTCTTTGTTTTGTTTTCAACACAAATAAACAAACCCAAATCCAAAGACACAATTTCTTCAATGTAAAGGCAAGAATTCAACTGTTGAGCACAAAGTATGCCTTAACTGTTTTGAAACATAAGAGCTAAGGTCTTTCTCATGGATAGTCATTAATATCATCTACTTTTCCAGATAAAAATAACTGAAAGAGATTCCATTTCACTTTCCACCTTTTGCTGGAATCTTGGAGTTCCTTTTGATCTCAAATTATCCATGAAGGATCATCTTATATGTTCACTACCAATGTATCTCTTATGATCCTAGAAATTTCTTGACTTGAACACGTGCAATCCAAAATAGAACTTGAAAGCTCTGTGCTTCTGTGTGGTCCACAGCACTGACTAACATTACTCTGTTCCAGGCTATTACAGAAACTTCAGGTCTCAACAGCACATGCTCAACAATGCTAGGGCTCAAGCATACTAATTTACTTCTGAAAACTTCAAATCACTTCCAGTCAGAAGCTCAGAAGTTGATTTTACACTCTGCATAACAAAATTAAAACTACAGATGCTTCACTCCTATACTTATTTCTACTTCTTATCTTTAAAGTAACAAGAAAAAAATGAAAGGAAATTCAAGCCCTAAAGTGCAGTCTTGTATAGCTTCAATTTTGCAGTAAACTAGTCTGAAAAAGCATTTTTATTCTATTTTTCCATACAGCACATATAGCCTCAACAGTTAATTTTTGATCTGTCATTTTACTGCATAAGCAGCAAGGAAATGCAATTCAGGAGTTCGGGTTCACATAAATCTATAGTCACTGACTTATTTAAAATGAGCCAAGACATTTATTCACATGTTTGCATTCACAAGTTTCTAGCAGCTCCAGAGTAAAAAACAATAAAAATGTCACCTTTAGAACAAGAGTCCTTAGACCCACTGCCTTTCATGTTCTACTGCATTTCACTCACTGAAATGAGAAACAGCAGCCACGCAAAAGACTTTAACAAACCTCTCCCCTTTCCACTAAGTAAATTTATCTCTGAGGACAAATTGTCACGTACTGCCAACAGGACAACAGAAATAAAATTTTATGATTTCAAAGCCCTAATCTGGCTACAAAAATTCACTGCAGCAACATTCATGATAATTTCTTATAATAACCAACGCTAATTACAGTTACCTCTTGCCTGTCTAACTGGGCAGGGCACACAGGAAGAATCACACAGAAAGCCTAAATTATTATTGCCAAGGCTGCAAAACACAGTTTAGGAAAATATGAAAAAAAAAACCAAACAAACACATTTAGTTCCATGAACATCTTAACAGGTCCTGACACGAGTTTTACAGAATGCAAGAAATGCAGTCTAATTCCACAGTCTAGCTGTCATCACTGAAGATTAAAAACATGCCTGCTTTCAGAATGGGGTACACTACAATCTAAAGATGACAGAAATAAATCTTTTAAAGGCTTAGTAAACTTGTAAGTGAAGCTCACCAAGTCATATAAAGTCTTAAACAAAAGATAAGCAATACAAACAGGGAAACATTTTCTGTGATTACATGGCTTGCTAACAAGGTAAGTATGACAAGATCACAGGCAGTTTACAAAGCAAACACTGGCAGCCCCAGGGCCACCAATGATTTGTGCCTAAAATAAATGATTATGCTGAAGAGAATATCCACTGCACCAAATGGCACCCACAAAATGTAACTTCATCACTCGACTTTTCCGTTCTAACACCGTCCAGCACCACATGGACTGTGTGGCATTGCAGCCTAAGAGCCACAAACACAGTGGCAGCTTTCTCAGAACTGGATACTCAGAGGTGCTGCTATTTAGGTACACTGATTTCCCCTGCTCTTGAAAAGTCCATTCCAAGGGAGTGATGGCATGTCCAACTAAATATCGCTGTCCTTATAACCTGTGTTTCCTGAATGAGGAGTTTCCACACAGTCGCTCTTCTGAATACACGGACAACTTGCAAAGTTAAGATTTCCTTTCAGGAATCAAACCTTGTTCCCATGTCTTACTGGGAGTCTGAAAATCTAATTAATTAAATTTCAATATGAGGATTTGTCATCTTTCCAAATTAGGTTAAAAAAGAAAAGGAACCCTAATGGATAGGTATGAGCCATATAAGCCAAGCAGCTGTAGAAGATAAAATGGTAGCTAACAATAATGAAGTTAAAAGCAAATACTAATTTCTCCTCTTCCAAAGTCTATTAAGTTCCCCTCATGAGTCTATAATGACAGTCTACAAATACCAAATAACCCAAGAAAAATTTTCTGCCTGGAAGAAATTGTTAAACACCAGAATTCGAGAGTGAACTATGTGATGGGTTTGGTAAATGCATAAAGGGACTTACCGGGATATCGACCTGCTAACACACATATGATGTCACCTCCTACCCCAAATATTCAGAATTACAAGTCATCAACAGTGACTTCACACAGACAGAAGAGAAGGTATCAATTGCATCACCCTAATCTGTACTATGATATATTGCCTTTGTCTTACCACTTTTAGTCATCAATCTTTTCATCACCATCAGAGTTCTACTCTTGCATGACTGAGGCCCCAGCAGATTGTTCCAGTGGTCTGAACACAACTTTCAGTTGTTTTCTTTTTTGTAGTTTCTGTGACTCTTTAAGCAACTACAACTGTACAAAAACTTTATATAATTTCTTTGGTAAAATGAAATCTTTCCTAAAGGAGTATGATCAAGTAACAGAAGTATTTTACATTTGGAGTAAGTTAATGCACCACACATCATTTAGAGAAATTTTATTTATTTGAATGAGATTATAAGAAACATGACACAACATTTAAATTGATACAAACATGCAATAAAAATGTTTGCACACACAACAGCTGATACCAGTTTGAAAAACAATTAATTACAAAACTAAAACTATCTGGTGTTGGATTTCTCATCTGGAAAATAATGACTATCAAAGTAACCAGATGCAATTCTACTCTGGAGGAGAAATACAAAATTACCCATCTTCTTGGGGCTATGATACAAGAAATTTTGAGTATAATACAACGCTTTACAACTACTTCTGAAAGACCTATGGTCACAATTTGCTCTTAAGTTATCTAATAATGCATAATTTTTAAAGAAAAATACTGGAACTATTAAAACAGGTGATTAATCTCACATTTCCAATGGATCTTAGGTGGTTTTATCTTGAAATAAAGGACTACTTACTTGGTTGGCCATGTAAATTGTGAGGAGGCCTCTCCTATAAACAGAAAAAATAAAATTAGTGAAGGAATCAAACACTTTTTGCAGACTGAAGAAAAACACTCTAAGGATTAAGAATATTTTATTAAAGAAGAGAGTTTAAAAAAACAGATTATTAATGGAGGATGAATCATTACCACCCTATAAAAAAAATAAGTACAAACCCAAAAATAGCATCTTGATAGCACAGTATCCAAAGCAGTGAGGAATTACAAGAACCAAGTTATATATAGCAACTTGCTACTGCACATGAGTCCTGAAGCTGTCATGAGGGGCAAGGTACCTTGAATTACACAGCACTTATAAGAAAATAAAAGCCTACACACAAGCTGGTAACGTAGGCATACAAAACAATGACCTAAGCCCAAGTTAAATTGTGAATTTACAGAAGAATGTTTGTGTGTTAACTTCTGTTTTGTGACCACAGCTATGTAACGTGAGACACCTTAGCCCTTCTGCTTACAGTATTATGAAAAGCTTTCTACTGAGACTGATGATGAAGAAATCTTGGCTCAAGCCAGTTGAGAATCACAGTGCCAAGAGTGTCCCAGAACCATTTTCTCTTCTAACCTTTATCTAATTTTTTTCCTGCCTTCTATTTTTGGATCTGTCCTTGTGTCTCAGCTCATAGCTCACACTGCTCTTTAGGAAAAGCATAAACTTGGGCTCACGCTCTCACACTTCTGTTGACTCTATTGCAGCACAAAATCAAAACTGAACTCCACTATGCAGATGTGAGCTGCTCCAGTAACAGACTGCACTACATGTCACTATAGGGTCCAGATGAAACAAAAGTTATTTTCTGTACATCAGTCGCAAGCCACTATTGGCCTTGAGAAAGTTGGAAACGTTACCACTGCAGATCTGCTTTGCCCTCAGTCATTCCTCCTCTTCTGCAAAGATCTGCTTAGAGACTATGGCCCAAGGCTGGAACACTCAGCTTCAGTACTTCCTACTGGACTGGTGTTCTTAGCATTTTGAGTTTACCATTGGCCTTGTAGTATTCAGGATTTTTCTTACTGACCCTACTGGTCTCACACGTATAACTTGAAAATTTGTGTGAAGGCACCACACATTCAACTGTTAAAGTTTCTCAATATGGAATTGAGTTTATAACCTGAACCAGTATTTGTCTTCATGCCATTCAGGATTTTTTTTATATTGCTACTACAGAAGGTAATATATAACAGAAGGTCTAACCTGGGCTTGAATGTTCCATTTTGTCATGACATTTTAAGTTTTCAAGCATTTATAAGAGTGCTTAAGAGAGCAGTATGTTAACAGAACATATCTTGCTATCAATTCAGTTGAAGAAATGAACAAAAGAAAAGCACAGATAGCAGGAAATAGAGAAATTCCTATCGCACAGTTGCCAAGCTTGATCCATCCAGAAAGAAGTTTATTCAGTATTCTCTAACCCCCACCATTTACAAGTCCATAACTTTGCCAAGTTACGCATCTCGATCCAGGTTTTTCAGAGCAGATATCTAAGCTACAAGGACATATTCCACTTAAAAGCTTTAGTGCTTTCACATCATGCTAAATCTGTGGGAAGCAATGATGCAGCATCCTGACTTCCACAAGGTGTTCTCTACTCACAGGGAAGGTTCAAATCTGGTTTAAGTTCAAAACTTTAACCAGCAAAATCAGTTTGTTTTGTGTTGTGGATTTTTTTTAAGGAGAATTACGAATCTGATCTCCTTCTCCACCTATCACCACTCTGTACCAGATACTAGAAATAGACTCTAGCATAGAAACCTAGAGAAAAAAAAGTCTAAAACTAAAGATTTGGTGAGGATGAGGCACAAGAAACAAGAAGACAACAGAGAGAGAATAGGGTCTGTGAACGTATAAGCAAAGCATCCCCTACGACTTGCAATAAAGCATCAAAACACTGTTCAACGCTTCTGACCAGGAAGGGGTGAAAATTCACCTCATGTAAAAGATAAATCCAACTCTCACACTGGTCTGCAAACAATCAGCATCTTTCAACTGATTAGCTCGAGTGATAAATAATATTGGATTTTTTTTTTTATCCCTGTAATAGTATTAAAAATTTATGATAAATACCCAAACACTCCGTTGTTTGGAAACACAGAAATAAATTACCTATCAGAGCTAACCTGGTAACTCAGTACACTTCGAATATTCTGGAAAACATCGTAACTTAAATAATATCCTGCAGTAACACACCTGTGAGAAGCCTTCACCAGCTACTGAGTGACAGATGCAGCTTTCAGGGTATATTGTGTATTTCAGAGAGTACATTTTAGAGGATATATGTGTATTCACAATTGTATTATATATAACGTGCACAAAACAGGATGATCATTGTACATGTACATAGTTTACTTACTGGATTCTCTCATGCAGTCTTTATGTCATGCAGGCAGGGCTGACATGCAGGCAGGGTCTTTTAGCCCTCTCATGGATACCTATTTAATTTTCTTATTTTTAAACACTAAAGCTAAGAATTTGTTCTAAATGAGTTTTAGTTTCTATTGTAGTCCCTTTGGCCTAAGTGTAAAACACAAAGACAAAGAAAGGAAAAGGGCTTAAGAAGAGGAAGGAAAGAAATCAGAAGCTGCAGTGCAGCTGCAGCAAGACCAATGTGAGAAGTAGGTGGTTGGGAGAAGAAAAAATATGCAGACAATACATTTGCGAAAGGAAGTAACTTCCGGAACCAAAAATACAGCAAACTTGCTAGATGACGTCATCTCAAAGTGCCTCCAACAGGCCCGTCTCTGAGGCCCTGCCTGACTCCAAGCAGAAAGTTTTCTTCCTCCAAATTAATTCTGTGACTGTTTAAAAAATAAATAGTCTCATTTTTCCAGGGGAAGGGAAAAAAAAAAAAAAAGGTAGGGTGGAAGGGGGGGCAGTCTTCCTGGCCCTGTGCAAATGTGATCCAGCAAACCTAACCCAACCCTGAACTCCACTGTTAAAAAGCAGGTGGAAGTTCAGAAAACGTTGAGTTCTTCTATGGCAATGACAGCTGACAGAAAACAGGACAGAAAGATGGAGGAAGGCCAAGCAAAAGGGTCACTAGTATAACCCAAGGACTGTATTAAAACTGCATCTGGTAAACAAAAGGGAGAATATAATTAGGAAATGGTATTAGAAGAGCAGGAAATAGTTAAACAATAAAAATAATTAGTCAGCCAAGTCTAACCACATCTTCGGGGAGGTTTAAAGATACTGATAACAGCTTACATTTCACCCCCAAAGTCCATGAACCAGTGTTGAACACTAATCTTGGGAACACCAACATCAGCACGCGGCTACTCCAGTGATGGTCTGACAAGGTCACTAAGGGGAAGCCCAAGGAGATGAACACAAATCCTTCCTACCATGGTTTCTATCTTATGCCATTTTCCTCCAGAGGTCTCCTTCATAAAGATCTTCATCGTAGCTTCCCACTTCCCACCCAGTCACCTCTTCAACTGACAGGATCTCCCATACCCAGCTCTTTTCTAGTGACATCTGTGATCTTTAAACCATGAAGGAAAAATATGAGGTAGGGGTAACCCAAAATTCATGAGCAGCAGACCACGGTTTATCCTGACAGTTTCCTTTGTTAAAGAACTTTTTTCTGAAAAAGTCTTAACAAGACTGGTCTCCTTTACCTGGAAAGGAGGATTGCATAAAGGTAATCATGTTTTAATTGCTCTTGAATTCAAGTATCAAAGAGCAGTAGTGTTTAATATACTTTTCACTTTGTTTCTCCTCCTTTTTCTTCCCCATTCACAGTTTAACAAGAATTTTCTTGCATGCCTGTTAGAGAACTGAGCAGGCAATGTCTCAGATTTTAGGTATTTAGCACAGGTCACATTATCTATGGCTGAATTATCCCAATCTTGCAGATTCTAATATCTAATTAGAATGTTTAAATTACAACAGACCACAGGCTTCTAGAAGATAATTCTCTTGTTCGTTTATGCCTTCCTCAAAGAAAAGTTTCACTTGATAAAATTTGCTTTTCAGACAACTTGGTAATGTTCAGACCAAATTCTAACAGCAACAGCTCCTAAAGTATGGCCTATAAGCCTCAACAGAGAACCACATATTTTTGTTATTGCACTGCTCAGAAAAAAGAGTCTAAAATAACTGCTAAAAAACCCAAAAAGCTACAGGATAAAAATAACAAGGAAAACTAGCAGTGTACTGGGCCACATTACCAGAAGTGTAGGTAGGAGGTCAAGGGAAATGATTAATCCCATTATCTTGGCACTCACTACACCACAGAGTCCTGTGACTGGTTGTAGTCCCCAATACAAAACAGGCATTGATCATCTGGCAGGGAGGACCAGGAACACGGTCGGGGAGATTTAGACCTGACTCAAGGAAACAGCATTTTCTCCATCAAAACAGGTAAGCATTGGAACAGGGACTCAGAGGGGCTGTTGGACCTCTGTCCTCAGCAGTTTGCAAGGCTAACTGGACAAATCCCTAAGCAAGCTGGATTGAACTCAGTGCCAGCCCTGCTCCACGCAGGAAGCTGCACTAGCTGACTTCCCAAGGCTTATCTGAACAATTCCATTATTCTACAGAAAAAAGGTGGAAAGCAACTTCAAAATATCATATGTAGGTCTTTTTCCACAGATTATAAAATCACACAACATTTCTTAAACAAAAAATGAACTCCTTCAGTTTTCCCACAACGTTCCCTAAGATTTTAATCACAGTTAGAGCTCTTTACTGAAACTGTCTCATTTTCTCAGAACTCATCTTCAGGACTTAAAGTGAAAATATAGAAAATAAAAAACACGAAAGTTTCCCTATTCTTTGTTTATTCAATAGTATTTTGAGGTCAAAGAAATCACTAAGTGCCACTCACAGACTTTGAATGCTTTTGCCTGAGAGCAAGGTATTTATATTTTCATATAAGTGCCATAAACTCTGGAAAACTTGTTTGATTGAGGCCAAAGTCCAATTTCCCTAACACGTGAGTAAAACATCTTGTTCATGCCAACAGAAGCAGCAACTGTCCAAACCTGCAGG